CAGTACCGAACAGAGCTGGAGATTGTTAGCTTATACTATATAGCTGTCGGGAGCATTGATAACATACCATCACCGGCAACCTCAGCCAACACTGGCACGCTGTCAGCCTGAGACATCTTTCCTCCCTGCTTGTGCCTCTGGTTCCCGAAGAACCCGAAGCCTTGACGACTTGGATCCTGAGTCTGGGAACGTGGAAGACCACCGGCAGCTTCTCCCTCGCTAGACATGAAGGCTCCCTTGAGACCCTTAACACCCTTGGCAACATTCTGGCCACCCTTCTTCCAGTTGAATTTGCGGGGCTGTCCCTTACGAATGCTGACAACCTGAGGCCCTGGAACGACTGTAGCGGTGGCAGGTTCAGATTCTTCTGCGATGTGGGCAGTTGAGATGGAGGGTTGAAGGTCATTGATGGCGGGCTTCAGAGCTTCGATGGAAGTTGTGGACTTGTCTTTGTTGTGAGAAATGCCCAGACCGTTGGATCGTGGCTGACCCTCAGTGGCTTTGTAGAGCTCTTGGATCTGATGAACGAGCTGGTTGTTTAGCTCAGCCAATTGTGCATTCTTCGACGATAATTGCTCGAACTCTTGGAAGGTCTTCTCCTTCTGACTGATCATGGATTCAAGTTCCTCGGTCAGGTCGTTGCGCTTCTGGATGAGTTCCTCAATCTGCGGGGCATAGGAGTCCTTCAGCTTCTGAATTGATTCGGCCAGCTCCCGCAACACATGGTTCGAGAGTTTTCCAAGGTCCAATGGTCCACTGGAGCCGCCGCGCTTCTCTGCTTCCATGTGGTCGGTGAGAACTGTGAGCTCCCGCAAAACGATCTCACGCTGGGCATCGAGAACAACCATGGTGGAGCGCTTCTCAGAAAGCTCAGTGTTGACTTGCTTGACATTCGCCGCGGCACGAGCAGCTGATTCCAGTTCCATAACACGTTGTCGTTCCTTGCGCAATTCATTTCGGAGCCAGGAAATTTCCTCAGCCTGAGAACCTGTGGGACTACCAATGCTGGCGCCAGCTTGGCTTCCGTTGGCTGGAGACTGGGGAGTCTTGATGTCTCGTCCCCCACGTAGGCTCTTCTCACTGTAGCTTCGGCCATGGCGAACGGAGTTTGAAACACGACGCAAGAAAGATTCACTCTCTCGGCCAACAGGATCATCACCGCCGATGATCCGAGACAACTCTTCATCCATGGAAAAGTCACCGCCGCTGTTGTAACGTAGCAAGGATGGCGAGCCCGCGCCGTCCAATTGAGAGTGCGAATCAAGGTGAGATGTATTCAAAGGAGCGGACTGAGAGGGTGGTTGGAACGTATCACTCCGTAGCATCGGGGAGTCTCCGTATTGCGACGACGTAGGAGATGATCCGATCTCCTTTCTAGGAAGTTGATGATGTCTGCCTTCGAGAGAATCACCCCGCTTGGGCAGGTGCGGCAGGTTGGAGGGCTGGGAGCGGGCAGAGTCCATAGAGCCATTCTCGTGGAGACGTCGAAGTTCGTTCGAAGGACGAACCGGTGCTGAAGTGATGCTGTCCAAAGGCACCTGTCGTTTTGTATCACTGGAGGCTTCCTTTGATCCGATACTGTCGGGACTGGCAGCTTCGGAGAAATTGCTTGTTTCTCTAAAGCTGATAGGAATGTCAGTGGAATTGCGCACTGAACTCGACTTTGCAGGCTTGGATGAATCGGCAGTTTGTGGAGGTTTGTCGGGTGAAATGCTATCGCTTCGTTCCCAGCCCTTCTCCTGGTAGGCAATATGAGGAGAGGGATTTTCGGAAGAGTTTCGAGAGGGAAGCTCCTGTAGATATTCACGTCCGTCGCGAGAGGCCCTGTGCGAGGATTCACCAGATCTCATTTGGCCAAAATAGTCACGGGAAGGCTCTTGTCGTGTTTGCGAATGACCACGGGAAGAACGACCTTCGGCCGAGGGATCAAAGGCGAGAGGAATTAGTAGCTCACCACCATCTGCATCAGTGTTCCGCGCCATTGACTGCCGACTGCTTCGGTATGTGCTAGACGGGAGAATAAGATTGTCTAGGGCGAAGAGTTAGTGGGGAATTTACATATATGGTGCTTGTCCCATCAAGCTCCGACAATGGGTGCTATTGTAAGCCACAATTGAGCTGCGAATAAACGCAATGCTCAATAGGCCGCGGCAATTGAAGGGTGGGATAAAGGATTTCTTGCTTACCATTGTCCGCTGCCTGATTTGAAGTCGAGCTTTCCGGCCTCTCATTCACATCTGGTGTTCCCGCCATTCGGCCAGGATCAGGCGTCATTCCGTCCGGATATTCACTCGGCACTTCGTCCATCAATGATGCCTCTTCCATGCTTGGAGGCAGGGAAGGCAATGACTTATCCAACTTCACATTAGGCCCAGTTGGCCTCTTGCTACTGGCGCCAGCTTTTCGTTTCCTCCGTCTTGCCATTAAAGACTCATGGCAATCCATACAGAAGATTCCTTGTGACGTGCGCGCATAACGGAGGTTCTCAATCTTCTTCTTGCAGTTTCGACATCTGAAGCATTGAGCGCAGAACGCCTGATCTCCAGTCAAGATGGCCAAGTCTTCAATCTTGTTATTGCAGGAGCTGCAGCTATACGTGCAATTACTACAGATAAGGGATCCATCGCCTAGCAGGAGGAGGTGTGCATCCGAGTCGAGGAGGGTACTGCAGGTACTGCAGCGAAAGCAATCGATGTGCCACCTATTTCCAGCTATTAATGGTTAGCGACATGTAAGACAACAAACAAAATCAGGAATCCGCAACTCACCAAGTTCGAAGGCTTTCCCCTCTTCTAGTGTCTACCAAAATTGTCAGTCACGTCCTCATAGGACCTTCCATATGCTGCTCACCTCTCCACAGCCCTTGCAAGGGTAGGACTCATCCTGCTCCATGGGAGAGTCTGGATAACTTGGAGTGTCCATCTTGAAACCCCTTGTCTAAATCACAGCGAAAGGTCGACAGTCGTTGCCGATTCTCTCAAAATATAGATCCGGCGCTGGATACTCAGACACGTTCCACAGACGTGTATACAGGCGATTCGTGGTCGCGACGGTACATGCGCTTTCGGCCGCTCGATGCTTGCGAGCGCACGGCGATGGAGAGATTGAACGGGACGGAAATTGTCGGCGCGGGTTTGGAGGGGGGATTCGACAGGGGGGCTGAAAGAATGGGCAAGTGGCTGAATCTGCAGACTGCTGAGGCGTTAACCAAAAGGTGATCCAGCCGTAGGCTTAAGCGTGAGACACCCGCTTTAGTCGAGGCAGGGCTGACCACATCTAGGGACCAGGGTAATAATCGCTCACGGGCCAGGGGTGTTTCGACGTACCTGGCTCTTGCAAGCCGTGCTACAGGGCCGTTTCAGATAGATAGGCGCGGGTGTTGCGCTTGTCGAGCAAGCGAAATGCGGGCTGCCCCTCGCGGGCACTGAAGTAATTTGGAGTAGTTTGGAGGGACAAACGGACAAGTCCCGAGGCTAAAAAGGAAATGACAACCGTGAAAGGAATAACCAACAGAAGAAAGGGAAAAAAGCAAAGAAATGAGGTTAGGTTGATAGGGGTGGGGGGTGGATTAAAGGAGTGAAGACTAAAAAGGGAAGAGAAGGTTGGCGGCAGAATCAACGGTCAATGTCAATGTTTTTCATTTCCGTCTGTCTAATTTTTTCTCTATTTGTCTCTGTTTTCCTTTCTTTCTCTCTTTCTCCCCTGAATTGTCCTGTACATGTACCCAAATGGTCTTCATGCCTATGTATACGTGTACAGTGGACGCCTAGAACGTGCGGGCCTTCAATCCCCCCGTACAGCCAATAAGCACTCCCTGATGGTTTACAACTGATGGAAATGATCTGATTTCAGGGACATTGTGCTTCTCAAATACTGTGTACTTTTTGACAACACGTCAACGCCTCAATCCTGCAGGGGAAGCCCCGATCCGACAGTTCAGCTCTCCGGATCTACAGTGTCCAAGGGGGG